ATAATAAGTCTCAATGTTACACAAAGTCAGATAGCTCCAGCAACCGGAACAGGTTGAATGTCTCTCTGGAAATGTATTTGCGTCAATGAGAGAATGTGGGCCTTCCTTCAAATAGATCTCTGAGCACATGTCTCTGCTTTAATGTCTCCCTCCGCCCTCCCTCCTCTTTCAGACACATACTGTATATGATGATGAGATGATGAATATGTTATGCAACACAGAATGGCCTTATTCAAGGGCTGACCTCATTTTAAGTGAACAAAGATTTTGAAATGACAAGAATACTAATTTGTTTTGCCCTGCAAATGCTCAACATGTTTCCAATGCTTATCATACTGTAGCTTTGTCATGTTTTGGTGGACTTGGATGAAAGAAGTGACTGAATGTTGCATTTTTCTAGTGAACTGTGAAAGAAAAACTGAATGATAAATAGTAAAAAGAAAAAAACACTTGGCGTCTTGGACATATCACCACTTCTTTTTAGACATTCTATTTATGGTTGTCATCATTTTGTATAAAGCAACTGCTTTTCAATTGCATGTGACACAAAAACCACTAGCAGAGGCCTTTCCCCCGAAACCCCCATCCCACTGAGACCCTCGTTAAAAAACAAACAACTTCTGTCAAATGCAAGGTCTCTGTGCGAAGATCACAATGGAGTCAAATTCATGTCAAAATCATCAGCTATTATTTAGCTTATCATCATGCTTTTAAAACTCCCTTAATATAAGCTGATTTATTCTGCACAGCAACACCAAAACAATAAATCACTCTCTCCCCCCATAAAAGAAAAAAAAAACTGAAATAAAGCCACATAGACTAAGCTATTTCCCATTTTCAGTTCAGCAGAGTGCCTGTCTTGCCTCTGGCTTTGCAGGCTGCACCAGCCTGCTTCATGAATACTGCACCACCAACGCTTGATGAAAACCCCCACTTTTTTCTCAGGTAGAACTGCACTCTGGAGAGCTTCATTATCTCGTTAAGTTAAACTAGACCTACCAACTGTGTATGATTGTGTCAGACAGAGACTTTAAGAGAGAAGGAAATAAAACAATTTAACATTTGAAGAATGGTTGAATTTCTGTTTTGTAATACATCATTAATGGACAAATGGCAGGTTATAAAACGATCCATGGCTGACTGAAACACACAGAAAAAGTGAATTACTGTGTTTATTATATAGTACATTCATTTAATTCTGATAAGATAAGATGCTACTTTATTGATCCCAATTTGGGAAATTGTTTTTGTTGCAGCAGCAGCATAAAAGACAAGGCATTTTACAATAAAACAAAACTAGAAATAAACAAGAATAGAAATAAAATAAAAATAAAATAGAAAATATACATGTTGAAATAGAAAATATACATGTAGATATTATATATACAAATATGTATATATATACATAAATATATGACATGGAGGTCATAAAATGTATTCCTAAAATGTTAAATAATTATGTCATGGTTTCTTTCTCTCGGAAATGGTACCACACGATTTGGTATGCAGACCTGAGCTTTGTCCAAAACCACTTCCTTGCTTACTGATTCACAATTTCCTTTCAAATAAACACATGAATCATCCTCACTAGGTGTGTTTCAATCTACCTGTTTTAATGCAAATATTTCATCTTAGCATAAAGCCTAGTTTATAAGTCACTAGGCTGGGGTCGTAAAGTTGGTGAATCAATAAAAGCGAAATGGGACAGAGGTGATGGAATCAGATTAAGCGAATGAATGATACATGTGACTTAAACGTCCGTGGAGGCTTCTGCTCCACTGAAGGGACAAAAAAGTAGCAGCAGATTAAACCAGTCTCAGCCTCATTGCTTCACACGGATATGATGTAACCATTCTCACATTATTACATGAAACACACAGAAATGTCATAATTCCATCAGGTAATCTACATTGTTTTTCACAGTCTGGTAATTTGTTTGACTTTGCAGCCTAGGTGCAATCCATTTGTTTGTGTTTCTCTGTGCCCTGCATCAATCTCCATGTTCCTCTCACTGATCTTCACATTACACAGCGAGGAAAGGCTTCAGGAGGAAACGCTGTCCTCGGCAACTGGTCAATTCTGAGGTAGTTTAAGTTTCAAAGTTCAATTTGTCATCGGTCTTGTTCTAGACATGACAGAGCAGAACGGCTAATGGAGCTGTTCTAATACAGATAGTCCGGTAACTCAAGGTTCCCTGGAAACCAATTAGTAATGAACAACCAAGCAGCCGAAGTCAGACAGCTAATGTGGGATCAGCTCCAGCTTCCAAATGAAATAGTGAAAACTGTGAGATGTGATTCTGGATCAATGTGTGTGTGATCTGCTTTAAAAAGGGCCATTGGTGACTCATCACCACCATATTGACACTAAATAATACGCCTTGAAGGTTCTCAATTCTACGTTCAGACCATTAATAGCAGCAAAGAACGATTTGCTATGTGAAGATATGGAGTAATGGCATACTCAGCATATGTGCATTCTCTCTTCGTTTTAAACCAAACTTCTCTTTTGTTTATGTAGCAGGTCTGACTGTGTGTGCATGTGAGTCCTTGATTGTTTGTGGGTTCAACTGGCAAGCTAATTGTCGTTATAGCGCAGAGACCGCTAATAATGTTGTGCCTAGCGACAGCGTTGTCATTAACGTGTAACGCCCACCTTCTTGTTCCACTTCACATTAACACTATGTTGCTCTGTCAGCACTGTTTACTTTGTTTGCACTATTTCCGATGTTAGCACCATTAGCTGCTAGCTGCCAGCTCAGCCAGCTCAGCCGTCGCCATGTTGAGAGCCTTGTGGAAGATATGTTAGATATGTTCTGAAATTATTATTGAGGACCTATAATTAACTCTCACAAAGATGATTACAAACAGAGAAAATGTGAGGTTTTTTGTCGAGAATAGAGGGTGTTTTGAAAAATAAAATAAACTTTTATCAGTGAAAATGTTGACAAAAAGCAGACATGTTAAGAAAACTAAAATACTAAATCTTGATGTTTTTTATATCCAGGAACATGGCACTGCTATATTGCAGCTTTAAAAAGGTAGCAATAAAGTGTGAAAGCTAGTATGCCAGAAACAAAATAAATCATCTCACATTGAGAGATTATGAGCATTTCAACTACACCACAAACCAATAGAAGAGAACTGATGAGCCATTTAATCACTGCTATTAAGGTATTCTTCCTGAGTCACACGGTCTTTCCGTCTCTCAAAGTCTACAAATGGGTCGAGGCAACATGGCCAGCCAACAGAAGAAAGAGACAAGTGTCGGTAAGGATTACGCTGCTTCTCCACTTAAGCCACATGGGTGAGTATGAGGCAAACTCCCCCCACTCAGAATGATCACCGTGAATCCCCACTGCACATCCATGTGAATGGATCTCCCATGTGGCAATAATACTGCCAGCTAAAGCTCTTGGTGTTTATATGATGATGCACACTCGGGGGCAAAAACCGCTGGATTGGTGGAAACATTCTTTGTTTCAGCAGCAGATCACCCATTCGTGAAAACATTATATCAAATTATGAATTGATATGTTTTCTTGATATGTGAATGAGAAAGTGTGTGATATGCATACATATCAGATGTTGAGTCAGTTGTGGAAAATGCTTTAATATACGCTGAGAGATATCACAGACCGTTTTAGGCTTTTGCATAGTAATTGGCTTATCATTGTTAAGTCATAATAAATATAAAGCAAAGCAAAAATTAAGGATTGATGTTAAAGACATCCTGAGGACATATTGGGAAAGTCCCACTTTTTTATGAAGATTGTGATTTCTGTCAAATAATGATGTGGCACTAAAAAGTACTAAAACGGTGTTGATTCAACAGAAAATGAACATTAGTATATACATTTGTTTTAAACTTACTCTGGTTGTCTATAACTTGATAGAACAAACCCCATCACTTGTGATATTAGGCTGCAATCAATCAGCGATTTTCTCCAGAAAATGTTAAGATATAAGTGTTAAAGTTCAAGGGGCAATAACAGTAAACCAACAGGCAACGAGTAAACACATTTAAATTAAATATAAACAAACACGATTTAGGAAAGTATGTTGAGAAAGTGTAGGTGTCTTTGAAAAAGCCAGGATATTCTTGAATTGTTTCACCCAGTTAATAATCACAGGTTACAGTGTAAATATCTCCTCTTTTCACTACACCATCAGTCACTACCCTATCCTGCAAGTTTCCAAAAATAGAACAGGCACCTCCAGGATCAACAAAAGGAATCCTTTTTTAATTAAGATTTTAATGATTGATGAAAAATATTACTCTGAAATTTATAATCCTATCTGTACTTTTTCTTTTTCTGACATTAGGCTGCCACAATAATCATGTATCACAAAAGGGGGTTCTTTTGAGGACACAGTGCCATCACATTTTGCTCCATCATGTGTTAAATTAGGAAACACGTGCACCTCACCACTTGCCAGCACCCAGGATAAACAGAGGCTTTCAAAAATATTTACATGAGATCTCACACCTGCATGCCCGCACACAAATACCCGCCAACAAGCACACACAGTAACGTGGCATGCTAAGTGCACCTTATCAGTAGAAAAAACAGCAGAGCACAATGATGATGACCAAATTAACCAAAGTGTCAGAGCAACGATAAACAGCACTGTGTGCATGGTGTATAGAAGATTGCAGATCTAAACACCATAAAAGGCGTACAATCAGATACATACTTTGTATTATTATGTTGCAATGACTTGTGTGCTTTACTAACATAGGTTGCAGCAATTGCGACCCAATGGGTCGCAATTGCTGCAACCTATGTTAGTAAAGCACACAAGTCATTGCAACATAATAATACATAGTGTTATAACAATGTGTGTTCTTGCCCGTTGTCAGGAAGGAAACGTGCGTCAAGCTGCCACAAATGCCAGGACACCAAAAAGCAAAGCACGTCTACAGTTGCTGAAATGAAATAAGAAAGGCAAACACAAAACGTAAATGGTGCTCTGGTTTAAAAGTTGAACACGTCTTACCTGGTCCCGCGGAATGCAAGGCAGCGAAGTCCTGCGGTGGGACTTGCTGTTGCTCTGACTGTGAGCCATCATTTCCGAGGCCGCTATGGAGCTGGACCTCCGTCTCCTTTTGAAGACAGGGATGTCATCCTCCTTCGCCCCGGTCACAGAGCCACAGCACCCCGTCCCGCTGGTCCCTGAGGCCGGCAGGAGCCGGTCAGCATACCTCGCAAGCAAAACCCCCAGCAGCCCCAGCAGGTAGGCCAGGTAGGGTCTCCAGCTGGCCCGGAATCTGCCCAGAGAGATGAGTGAGACGGTCCTGATGACGCTAATGAAGACGAGGATGGACACTCCCTGACGCAGCCGGACGACCAGCAGAGCCCCGCTGCCCAGGCAGCCGAGGACTACCAGGGTTGCGGGAAGGGACAGCAGCTGCTCCTCCGCGCCGCGCAGGAGGGACTGCGCCGCGGCTTCACCCAAGTTGCACACGGCCAACAAAAACACCGCGTTGCGGATGAGCACCCCGCAACGAATCAGATAAAACCCGACCCAGAAGAAGGCACATACGAGTGTAAAAACGGGGGAGACGCAATCGCACACAGTCAAGAGCAGCTCCCCAGCGCAGCTTACCACGAACTGAAGAAGAGAGCCGCTGCTATTTGCGTCGCTGCTGCTGCTTGCATCCCAGTCGACCAATCTGAGCAGCAGAGCGAGAATAACGGAGACTGAGGCAACACAGACCGCAGACGACACTCTTCGGCAAGTCCATGTCACGGGCGACTCTCAGCCACGACTGGCTCCATGCGTCCTGGTGCAACGGGGTGACACATGTCTTCACGTAGCCGTTGCGCTCTAACGCTGCCCGGGGATATTTTTCATGAGCGCTTCTTGATGAACCTCTGTCGCTGTCTGCCTCCAAGGCCATCGCTGATCAGTCAAGCGGAATGCTGTGCTGACCGTCCAGCAAAATAATATATTTAGTGTCAGTGTGAGCGTCTCAGTCTACATGTTCCACCTTGGATTCCCATGATAATACATGCTCTCTGTGTGCAGGTGACACCAACATGTTGGTCAGTGATGCATGCCTCCAAAACAAAAGTTCAATAAGAATGCGCAGGCTATAGACTGGTTGAAAAAACCCTTCCAAATGATGGGGTTCCCAACTTTTCTTTGAGTTTTGTGCTTCAGAACTTCCCCATTACATTTGGTCTATTGGGTTGCCTCCGGTTGTCAACCAGTGAACCAAAAAAGTAACCCCTGGCGTTTCACACATCTAGGCCACTGCCTCCACTCCTCCATATAGTCTCTCGCTCACCCTCTCTCTCTCTCTCTCTCTCTCTCTTTATCTCCCCTCCCACTACTACCCCTGTTTTGTGCTGCTCTGGTGATTCTTTTAGCTCTTCCCTGCGTTTCGGTTCATTCTGTAGACTGATGTGACTCTATTGGAAGGGGATGGATTTCATTTCATTTAAAATCTTTATTTATACAGATAAATCCCATTGAGATCATTGATCTCTTTTTCAAGGGAGACCTGCTCTTGGCTGGATGCCATGTTTACATGGAGATTTCCTGGCTTGTTCTGGAAGATGGAGCAGCCCATTATCTGAATTAACTATAGTGATCCTGCAATACATTTTGGAGGTGCTACACTGTATAAATATGACAGGATATTATACTGGTACCATGCAACTTGTAATGATATCATTTATCAGTCGGAGGTTAGTCAAATTTCAGATGTCAAACACACTATGTAGAAATAGGTATGTATTTACTGCAATATAAGCAGCTTATTTCCCTTTCCTTTAGTCTAAATACACCCAGTGGTCATTTTCATGGATGTAGGCCAGAAAAACAGACAACCAGAGAAAGAAAATCCAACAAAAAACAATGAGCATAATCTATCTTTAGTAATAATCATCTTGCTACTCATTTATTTTCCTGGATTAAATACTAAATCACATCATCCTCTGCCTACTGTGTACCCGACTGGCAGTGGACAAGTTAGCAGCCTTCACCTGTTTGCCCTACATGTTATGAGAGGATTTAAAAGGATGCACTGCAATAAATAAAGCAGTCTCTTTCTGGAGTATTATTCATAAAACTAAATCGTTTAAATTGGTTGAGGAAAAGCATTACAACATTTTTGTTGTACTGTCTTCCGTGTGCTAAAGTAAAAGCCATGTTTTATCTGAATGGCTGAAGAAGTAACAAATATTTATAATACACAGAGTACATTTTGTTACATGTAGTTATGCATCAGAAAAGTGTGATGTCTCTCCTTTCCCCCATTAATAGTTTGAGTTATGATGCCAAATAGGAATGGTGTTTTATTGCAGCAGTGTTACACAACTTGAGCCAGTACAATAAGTCAAGTGCAATCAGGGCATACATCTCAAGATTTAGTCATACCATCACAATAGACAGTGGATATTTGCCAGTATAAACTCTTCCTTCTCGTTCAAGCTATAAAGAAACCTGGTTTGCATGTCAGGGAGATTTAGAGATGAAAGCTTGCACAAGAGGCAACATCCTTAACTTTGATTTTGGTTTTAGATTAAAAACAATGTACAAACAACTAAACAGCCTCAGTCCTGATTTTCCTATATTTGACAGACAAAGGATGTTGACAGCTACAGTTATTTTGTCCATGCTGAATGTGTCCTAGTCATTCGCCAACTCAACCATCTCCAAAGCACTACATTCTTGAAATGAACTACGATATTGTCCTATACATTGGGACCCACAAGCAAATAAATTAGCAGCCCTCTCTTTGCTGTTTATCAGCAATAACACATTGTAAATCAAATGTTGGCAAAGGTAACCATGATAATAACATTGTTCGACCTTTGCCATCAAAGACGTTGTCCAGACACACTCCTCCAGTTGCACTGAGGAAGTGTTGTAACAATATCATCTATCACTATGAAGTGCTTGATGAGACCTGGATGTGAGCCTGTGTGTTTCATTGTTGGCCCTCATCAGGTCATAGGTGGGTTGGTTACACAACCACACTTAAGGCATACATCCTGATATACTGTCATCATATATAAACGTTCTGCTTTATGTTCCAACCTGTCGGACTGCATGAGGTCTTCTTCACAAGATGTTCCTGTAAGCTTGCGTAATGTTTATGGTAGGCCTAAAAAACAGGGCATACTGTATGCTGCACTATATTTTAATAAACATAAAGACAGAATAAATATATTCTATGATTGATACGTACAACTACTGCTAGACAGAATAACACATTTGGGCTATAATTACGGTGGCCCTGAAGTGCAAGACACCACAGCATTTCAGAAAACGCCACAGCATTTCACAAAACACAATAGCATTTCACAAAACACAACAGCATTTCACAAAACACAACAGCATTTCACAAACACAACAGCATTTCACAAAACACAACAGCATTTTAGAAAACACAACAGCATTTCACAAAACACAACAGTATTTTAGAAAACACAACAGCATTTCACAAAACACAACAGCATTTCACAAAACACAACAGCATTTCACAAAACACAACAGCATTTCACAAAACGCCACAGCATTTCACAAAACGCAACAGCATTTCACAAAACACAACAGCATTTCACAAAACACAACAGCATTTCACAAAACGCCACAGCATTTCACAAAACACTACAGCATTTCACAAAACACAACAGCATTTCACAAAACACAACAGCATTTCACAAAACGCCACAGCATTTCACAAAACGCCACAGCATTTCACAAAACACAACAGCATTTCACAAAACGCCACAGCATTTCACAAAACGCCACAGCATTTCAGAAAACACAACAGCATTTCAGAAAACACCACAGCATTTCACATTGGACGGAAAGGGTATTTCTTAGGGAGAACACTTCTTGTTTGTGATTGGACAGAGCCAGCCATAGAAGCACTGCTGCGATTGGTTGTTTTTGCTGCCAGTCAAGAAATGACGCTGCGTGATTGGCCCAACACATCAGCCGTTAGCTGTTAGCACACACTCAGAGCTCACAGCACCTCATATCTGTTCAGAAACTGGACAAAAGTTAAACATATACAAAACACAGACTGTCTATGTCATGGTGAATACAGTCGCTGCTTTATTTATGTCTTTATGTATGACGTTGTTGTGAGTGTGGACTAGGGTTGCCAACTTCCAGAAATGGAAAAACGGGACACATGGATGTGTCCCACGCGTGCGCGCGCGCGAAGATTTTCGGGTTTCTGGCGGATTTAGTTACTTTTTTTGTTACTTTATTTCGGTTTTAGGGTTAGGTTAGGGTTATGTTATTTAATTATTTTGGGGGAGCCAGCCCATAGGGTTCGAAAATGTTTTTGGGGGTCAAACCCCCCAAAACCCTCAAAATGCATAGAAAACTATGCATACCTATAACACAATACAAACACAATGGTCTTACACCTGCATTAGGCTACTACATCACATTGTACATCAGCATGTTCAAATCGGACTAGGGACATCTGGGCACCTCGATGTACAATTGGCTATTTTGTCCAACATGTTAAAAACTAAAATATTTGAAAAATTGTATTAAGTAATGCAAAGTATACATGTGAACATGCACGGTACATCATTATTAGACTTAATGTTATCCTTCAACCAACCATTGTTGCTCGCTTGTGCAGTTCTGTGCCAGCATGCTGTTTCAGGTCTTTTCTCCACCGTGACCTATTGAAAACTCCCTCCGACACAAGGTGCAGAAGACCCGAGACAGATCTCCACTCACGGGCTTTACCCAACTGTATTTTTCTTCCCACTGTGTGTTGTAAGACACAAGTCTTTTCTTTTTAGAAGGGCCAGGGCCCAGAACCACATCCTCTCTCTCTTCTCCTCTTTCATTATCACCTCCACCGGCAGCGCTCATTTTCCCGCACAACTGAACAGGCTGACATGCCACACACAAACAATGATGCTGCGCCCGCGAAAATCTCACACACACACACACACACATGCGAGCATTGTGCCTGCCCTGTCAACTGAGCGGTCCTATCGCCCTTCGCATACAGCACACAAACACACAGGCACGCAGCCAGACACACTGCATTGCGCGCAAACAGAAAAAAAAAAAAAAAATTTCCCTTTACCGGGAATCCGGGACACGCCCCTTTTGGCTCAAATACGGGACGTCCCGGCTAATACGGGACGGTTGGCAACCCTAGTGTGGACGGAGCAGCTACAGGTTAGTTTAGCCTGATCGATCCGATTCCGATAGGATTTACATGGAGATACGACCCGCCCCCTCTCCAGCGTCTTGTTTGAATAACAGGAGTAAACACAGAATTAATGCTTTATTAATTCATGGTTTTTAAGGGGCTTATCTCCATGTAAATACTATGGTAGACCACCCAATATTCGCATCGCTCTAATCGCTCGAGTTTCACCGCGGCTGTCAGCTGTGTTTGCCCCTGTCATTCAAACAAGAGGCGCTGGAGAGGGGGCGAGGCGTATCTCCATGTAAATCAACTACAACAAAATTAACATATTTGACCGTGATTTAATTGTAATACACGTTTCAAAGTGATGCCGAAGTAACTACATACTGATAACGGTTAGTAAAAACCATGAATTAACGCTTTGACAAGTCTGCAGATAAGACGGCATGCGAAAAGCTTTTAAAATGCGTGTTTTCTGAATGGAATCGGATCCATCAGGCTAAACTAACACTCACAACAACGTCATACAGACATAAATAAAGCAGCAACTGTATTCGCCATGACATAGACAGTCTGAGGTTTGTACATGTTTAACTTTTGTCCAGTTTCTGAACAGATATGAGGAGCTGTGAGCTCTGAGTGTGTGCGAACGGCTGATGTGTTGGGACATATTTCGCTGTCGGGTGTTGACCAATCACGAAGCGTCATTTCTTGACTGGCAGCAAAAACAACCAATCACAGCAGTGCTTCTCTGGCTGGCTCTGTCCAATCACAAACAAGAAGTGTTCTCCCTAAAGGAATACCCTTTCCGTCCAATGTGAAATGCTGTGGTATTTTCTG